CTCAACAAGCTTTTAGAGATGTCACAGTTTTACGAGCAAACTTCAGTGGCTGAACTGTACGGCAACTTTGATTTTCTTTCATATCAAATTGGATTCTGCGCACATTTATGCTTGGAAAACATTGCGACGAAAACAGCTGAAAATAAGCCATCTTCAATAGAGACCAGATTCAACATACTTTCTTCATGTCGATTTACAGCCCGAGGAGATTGGGAACGGGCAAACTTCTGTTCATCGTACACATTTTTTTCTGGATCATATTACTACGAAACAGTCTTACTGACAAGTGGATCAATGAAAATCGGATGGGCCACCACTGAATTCAATCAGGAAAAGTTTTTCGTTTGTCTTGACCTTTATCGACGATATTTATGGCACAACGGTAAACAAATTGAAATGAAACATTTACCTGGCTGGAAAGTCGGTGATGTGCTGGGATGTTTTGTGAACACAAAAAAATCAAAATTTGTTTTTTATTTGAACGGAAACAAACTGCCACTGAAAACAAAATTTCCCAAAACAGCACAATTTTATTCAAAACCGTACTTTGCCGCCGTTTACCTTGCCAGCCACCAGCAAGTGGCTTTTAATTTTGGACAAACGCCTTTCAAATGGGCGCCTAAAGGCGTTCAGTTTGGAACGTTTTGCACGGCAGTCAAAATGGTTTGGACTTGCTAAAAGGCTACTGAAACTGTTTGTAAAAATTCCATTGACATTTGTAAAATAATCACACACTTTTTCGCAAAACATTAAACAACAAGATAAAAACTCATTTTAATTTTGTGATAACAAATGGCAAATATTATTCTGTTTTTTATTTAAAAAGAGTTATAAACTTGTGCTTTGATTAAAAGTAGTCAGTGTTAATGGCAATACGGGTATTTTGCCGTTGTTGTAAGATAACGTGTTCCTCGTGCAGTGACATTAATTTTGTCTGCAAAATATCCCATTTCGACGTCGTGTTTAGTGCAGGTGTGCTTCAGAAAGGTGGCCCAATCGGCGCAGGTGAAGCCGTTGAAGTGACAGGTGGCCCGGGCGCTGAGTGTGGCATCGTAGAAGAGCACCGACGACTGGTGACTGCAGGCAGGGTGCAGAATGCTGTGACACATCGGCTGGTGGTGGCCGGAGTTGGGGAAGAAATCGAGGTGGCCGTAGGCGTGAATGAAGCCCACCTCACCGACGAGGATGTTGCTGCCCGCCGAGGTGTGAATGGCATCGACAAAGTCGGCGTCAGTGCTGGTCAGGTGGGCGCCGGCGTGGCCCTCGAAGAAGGGCGCCGCCGCGTCCAGGCCGGTGATGCGGCCAAACTTCCAGCCGTACGCCGACTGCGAGTACTTGCCCGCAAAGCCGGACACCTGCGCGCCCAGCGAGAAGCCAATGAGGTAGACGTGCTGCGGACTGACGCCATGGTGCTTCTTCAGCTCATTCACCAGAAAGGCCACCTGACGACCGACCACCTGGGTGTTCGTGGAGGCGGCCACGTAGTCGGGCGCCGCGGCGCCCTTCTTCCAGTCCACCAGAATCACCGTGCCCACCTCGCCGTTGGTGTGCTTCAGCAGATTCGTCCTCACCGACTCGAGCATTTCATTGTGGTGGGAGTTGCCGAAGCCGTGGGTGATGATCACCAGGCGTTTGTGGGCGTCGATGGCGCTGAAGGTGGCCGGCTTGTGCGGGTCGACGATGTGCTCGGCGGTGGGGGCTGAGGGCGTGTACGCGTAGAACGCCGTGCCGATCTTCTCTGGCGTGAAGGGCAGCATTTCCGTGTGCTTCATTGGACCGTCCAGTGTGAAGCAGCCAATGTCCGGGTAGCAGTGTTTTGTGTCGGCAAAGAACCTCGGCTTCGGCAGCAAACTCACTTTTGCCACCGAGTCGGAAATTGCCTTGAAAAGCTCAAATTCATTGGCAGCAGCAGCAGCAACGGCAGTGCCCAGAAGGGCACAGCACAGAAGAGTAAGTTTAATCATCATGGTTTGTTGTTAAACTGGTTAAACCGCTAGATCATTAAACACACTAATTGGTTTTTATACATAAACTACTTTAAAACTAAATTTATCAAATATTTTACTTTAGATAAATCAAATAGAAGAGTAAGAACATACGTTCATCAGCGTTTTAAATAAAGGTAGGTTTTAATTAGTTTGTCATGTTCGTAAAGGCGGATCAATGCCATTTTGTCTGCCAAAGGCTAATCGGTATTTGATTTATCCTTATCATACGGATCTAAAAAGTACTAATGTTTAACCTTTTTTGTAGATTTAGTTTGATAAAATAATCTGAATGTTAACTATGCATTAAATAAAAAAAGACTTATCTATTTAACTCACTATGCCTACATTTTAAAAAAAGTTTTAGCTCAACTTCAAATGTAGTAGTTTAGGTTTTTTCATTGAATTAGTCACTTGATACGGACAAATAATATTAAGTTCAAAGATCCGACATGTAAATAATTTCAAAAAATAACAAAAATTGTTAATCAAGCAAATGTAAATAGAACATTTACTACTTTTAAAAAACATTTAAAATAGACAAAACTTATTAATAATAATTTATTAATTGATAAAATATAATTACAGACGATAATGATCGCGTGTTGTGTTGGTGGGTGGCCAAGGGTTGGCCTGTTGATGGTCGATAACAGTGAACTGTACAGATGTGTGCTCTTTTAAATGTTTTTAGCAGTGTAATTGTGTTTGTGTGTGTGTGAGTGTGTGTGTGTGTGTGTGAAACTTGCAAAAAAGAAAAACTTAATAAAAATAAAAAATATATTACACAAATACAATAGATTCGTACAAATAGTTTGAGTGAGGTTTCTTACAGAGTTTTTCCCAGGTAGTTCAGTTGGCGAATTAAAAGGAAAGAGGATGTTTGGTATATTGCGCAATATAAAGAATCCAAGGAGAAGAGAAGGGTCGTGTGAATAGAGGCAAAGTGGGAGGCAGGGGACAAGTGGAAAGATGGTGCAAAAAGGGGTACAAATTAGAGAGAAAATTAAAAATAATTTAAATTAGAGGAAATAAATAGAAACACAAAAGTTGTTGGGTCGGACAAAAAATGTGTCAATGTGTGCGTTTGTGATTTTGTGTTTGTGATGGCATGACAGTGCAACAGTGTTCAATTTGATGACCTGGTGGCAGGAATTTGGTACTGTTTAATGAGATGTTCAAAAAAATGAGATTGTAGGTCGATAAAATTCAGTTTTTGAAGTTTGTTGTTAGTGTTCAAAAAGTTTTTTTTTGTTTTGGCAACAGTGACTCATGATTTAGTTCAATTAAATGCAAAAATTTGAAAAAAAGAAAAATTTGCAAAGTACAATGAGCATATAGTGTAATATTTAGAGCAGGTTTACAACAAAATTATGGCCAAAATTAATGTAGCGACACACATCCCATCTTTGTTTTGCATTACTTTTCCACTTTTTTTCATTTTTAATTATCCTTTTGTCGCTCCTAGGCTGGCGCTCTAAATTTTGTTCATTAGCAGCCAGTGCAGTGTAGTGGAGTGTAATGAACAGTAATAATAATGCGCTAATGGGCCAATGAAGTTAAGGCCATATGAAAGTTGGTGATTGCCAGTTGTTAGTGGTTCGACTTGAGCCATCCATTGAAGCCACACACACACATTGGTCAAACAGTCTATGTGTGTGTGTGTGTGTCTGGCCCAGTATGTGGTGACATACGTCTGCTGCTGCTGTTGTTGATGAATTAATGAAGCAAATGGAAAAGAGGAATAAAAAGAGCAGAAAGAGAGGTCCGTCTATTGGCCTTTTGATGGCTGCCGTGAGGGGGAGGATGAAAAGGAGCAGAAAACGAAAAAGGAGGAGGAGTAGAACCGTCGCCAATGAGGCGAGCAAATGTGGACAAATTAATTTAATGGCCATTACGAGCAGAGAGGGCGGGGAAGGACTGAGGAAGATGATGATGATGGTGGTGAAGAGGAGGGAAAGAGAACAGCAGCAATGGATTGCAGCTCACACACTGAACTTGATGACAATGTCGACAAGAACCAATTGGCTCTATTGTCACATTGCCAGTTTGGGCCAGTTTGGTGGCTAGGACAATCGGTATGTGTACTTTCAAGTGACTTACTCTACTTGGAAAGGAAAAGGGAAAAAAGGGAAAAAGTAAAAGAAGTTGCTGGGTTCAACATATAAACAGAAGTCAGAGGACACAAAGTTGGGTACAAAAACGTAAAAAAAGAGAAAAATAAAAAAAGTAATGCAGAGGGGAAGAAAATACAAAGTCGGCTGAAAATCACAATTGAAGTTGAAAAGAGGAGAAAGAAAAGAAATGCGTGTGTGTGCTTGTGTTGAAATGTGTTTGTTTGTTGGTGTGAAAGAGAGTGAAAAGGAAAGGAATAATGACAAGAGAAGATGAGATGCTGTTTAGACAATGGAACGAAAGAAGTTAGAGCAAAATAGATAAGAGAGAAATATCACAAAGAAAAGGGGAAGTTAAATTAAAAGAAAGAGGGAAAGAGTGAGAGAGAGAGAGAGGTGATGAATTATTTATGCATCTCAGTGATAGGGTGACCAGAGAGAATGGTCTAACAAAGAAATAGAAAGAGAAAGTTCTAGTTCACAAGCCCTTCGGTCGAGTTGAGGCATTCACAGCTGATGTGTACTGATGGGCCAGAGAGAAAAAGGAGATAAAGAAGATGAGGAAGAGGAGGAGGAGGAGGAGAAAATGGGAGAAAGTGGGACTGAGTGAGCAATGGCAACAGCAATGGCCAAGCGGCAGATGAACAGAACAGAGTGATTGGCCAAAAGAGATACTTGGAGTGGATGAACTGTTGATGTGAAATGGTTATGAGAAAAAGAGGAGGAGGAGATGAAAAGGGACAAGGATGAATGGAAAACAAAAACGGGGGAGAAGAAAAAAAGAGTGCATCAGCAATCGACCCAATCGACACTGGCACAGTGTGGTGTGCTGAGTATGATGATGATGATTTCGATTGTGATGTTGATGTTGGCACTGAAACTGGCTGAAAACTGGGAAACTGTACTAGATCCCATCAAAAGTCTTGCCAGACATTGTCTCGTAGACACGTTCCAGTTTCTGCTGAAGGCTGTTCTTAACGGAAAACTCGTCGTCGTTCAGTGTTTGAAGAAGCTGCGTGAGGAGGGAGAAAGGGGAAGAGCGAAAGGAGAGAATAAAGAGTGGAGAATTAGTAATGCAATCAAACTAATCGATCAAGTGCTGCTGCTGCCGTTGCTACTGCTCACACAAAGACACAGAGACACAACATAGCACAGACAACAGTAGCACGGCAACACAGTGGCAAGACACAATCAATTGGAGTGATTGGCCTGCTTCCATACGGCTACCGGAATGGGCAGGCAGGCCAATGACCAGTGGCACTACTGCAATGTTAACAAAACCCTTCACAAAAGAGTGCACCAGAAAAGTGAGTGCCTGTGGTGAGTGGGCAAGTGTGTTTGGTCAAGTGGCCAGCCAATTAGAAGGTCATCAATTAAAGTGCCCCAGAAGCACACACACAGAGCATGAATGTAGTGTGTTTGTCTGTCCAAAAGTGGAACTGCAAACACTACCACTACTACCACCACTTTTACTCTTACTAACCTGTTCTTTGTACTTGTGGGCATACTTGTACAGCTCGTGTAGAGCAACGTTGGTGTTGAATTCATGAGCGTGTTGCTGTAAAAATTAATTAAAAAAGTTATTATTATTGATGAAACTCAAATTGAATAAGTAAAATTGTTATTGCAATTGCTGTCTTACCCGTGACTCCTCCGCCAGCATGGCGTTCATGTCCTGATCACTGATGGAGGGCATCGTCTCGATCTCCTTGTAGTACCGCTCCACCCACTCTTTGTAGATGGGAATGTCTTTGGCGTAGAGCAGTTTACTCGACGGGGAGTCCTTGCCCAGGCGGTGATCAGAGGTGGAGCAGGCGTCCATGAAGGTCTGCGCCACCACGGAGAGGCACGAGTCGACGGTGTTAGACTTGTTAATGTCAAAGACAAAGTTGGGGTTTTTGATCAGATTGACCCAGAAGCGAAGGGGCAGGCTGTTCGACTTCCAGGTGTGCACCACCTCGGAGTCGTGGATGCCGTGGTGGGTGGCCTGGTCGTCGAGAAAGTCGAACATGTACTTGATGGCCAGCGGGAGGGAGGAGCCGCGGTTGACGTCCCTTGTGGAGAAGATCGTTTCAAAGAGGTCGTCGACGTACTTCTGCAGCGTGCCCTTGGTGGCCAGCAGGCGGGTGAGGTAAATCTCGGAGACCATCTTCGAGCCGCGGTCGTTCTCCTTGCCGTGGTGGTCATTATCGTGGTGCTTCACCAGGTGCCACATTCGCTGGTGGTAGCCGCCGTTCTCATTTTCGTGATGGGCCGTCGTAGTGNTGATGGGCCGTCGTAGTGCTCGAGTGGTGATGAGGATTGTGGTGATGGTGATTGTACAGCGGATGCGTCGAAGGCGGGGAGGTGGGCCGGCTGAGCGAGGAGGGAGGCGAGTTGGAGCTGGTGAGGCCCTTGAAGTGGTGCAACGGCTCGTAGCGGTGCTTCTCGGCAAAGCCGGAAGACGAAGAGCTGCTGCCGCCGCCTAGCGTGGCCATCTTGTTGTCCATGTGGTGGCCAGCGAGACCACCAACACCCAAACCTCCACCAACTCCACCCCCAATCCCACCACCTCCAATGGTCATGTAGTCGATGGAGTTGTACAGTTTTGCGTTCGGGTTGAGAATGAACTGCGCATTGTCGGGCACCTTGTAGTGGGCGAGGGTGTTTGTCCGCCGCCACTCGCCCGCCACTCGACACGTCTGGTCCTCATTCTGAAGCGTCAGTTTGCCGGTGGTCCCGGTGCGCCACTCCAGGTCGAGTTCGTCCTCGCGGAAGGGCCGCTGGGAGAAGGGCACCCCGCGGTAGATGACGTCCAGGCACTTCTCCTTCACCTGGGCGATGGTGTCGCAGTCGAGCACCTTCACCGGCGCCTCAAAGTACTCCGAGGTGGGCAGGCTGCTGTAGAGGGG